CTTGCCGGCCTTGATAGACAATTTCAGAAAGCTATCATTCTATTCTAAATTTAAAAAGCATGATAATCAAGAAGATTGTTTAACTTTCATAAAAGATCCATCCCAAAGACGGATGCTCACAAAATTCCGAATAAGTAATCACAAATTTCTAATTGAGTATATGACCGCTACCAAAAAATGCCACGCGAAGAAAAGCATTGTCAAACTTGCAACACAGGTGCAGTAGAAGACGAGTTTCACTTTTCCTTCGAATATCCCATGAGTTACAATAACATCAGAAACAATGCAAACAATATATTAAAGAATGTTTTCCAGATTAATCTTACAACTGAATCAAAACAAAATTTATTGACTCACGTCATGTCATGCAACGATTTAGTGGTAGTAGAGCTATTTTCTGAATTTATCCTGAAATGCTTTAAAATCAGAGTCAAATGCCTCCAAACCAGAGATGGTCCTTGAACACTATAATATTATATTATACTAATATAGTATTAGAATTTTTATACTTAAAAGAAGCTTTTAATATGAACTAATCAGTAGGCTAGTCATAAGACATAACAATGTTGTTCGAACTTTCGAACACTATAGATTACACCTATATTATATGTCTTATATGTTTTGTTGTTCAATAGCACTTATAGCATGCACCTATACTTTGGCAATACCTGTAATTGGGTCATGCCAATAAAGTCATTATTATTATTATTATTATTATTATTATTATTATTATATAATCAAAAATAGCAAAGAGCTATTCTCACGAGAAAATATTGCGGCAATGGTTGATTTGCGCCAAAGAATTGTGTATTTTCGGGTGACACGGAAGAAATATGTTATAATTATTATATTATATTTAACTTTGCCTTGATAAAATGTTAAATAATATTATGAAAGCTAATACAAGGCAGGAATTCCTCAACAGCGAATGCCAATATAACCACATGAAGTTCAAATTGTGGTACTATAAAAGGCGCAAAATAACGAAAACTTAGCCATGTTTTTCAGACATTAATTTTCCTATCACAAAAATATTCTGGGAGAACACTTCACACCACAGTGGAACGTTTCAGAAGTGTTTATGAAATAATACCTCAACAAATTACAGACTAGTATGACTACATATTATATAATTTGATTGAATATATTTACCAAAACAAGAACAATTTGATTTTTTTATATTTTGAATATTCCCTCCAATATTTTTTGCACAACGTAACTTGAAAATATGCCGACCTGTTGACTTAGTAGTTTTTTCTGTGGGGAAGCTACCCCCTACTCCCACCACCCTGTCTTGTACGCCTTTGACCTTAGCAAATCATATATTTGAACACGCCACTAAAATAATTCGCTATATCGTTCTTACAGGCGATTGTTCAAAGACAAAGAAACCTAGTTTGGTGTGGTTTGACACAACTGTAAGTACCCAAATATATTCTGCCTTATATGCAGTCTTAAGGCTGATTTCCACTCATCGCAAAACCAACTCGCAAGCCTGTTGCGAGTGCTGTAATAATGTAATAATGTAGTCGATAATTGTGATTGGGCAGTATAGTTTGTATGTTATATACATGTCCATATTAGACAAATTAGTATATATAATGGTTTAATCTTTGTTTAACACTTTTACACAGAGAACTTCTTATTAACGGAGCAAAATAATGTCATGGAATGATTCTCTTCGGAAAGGGAAAAGAGACCTTCGGGCTTCAAATTTTGATGAATGGCGAGGGGCACCTTGGCCTAATTATGTAACAAACCTAGACAGGGAGTTCCCCTACAGCGAATATCCCAGAAATCATCCCTACGAATACTATTCGTTTCAGCTGCCACGTCATAACTCATAGCAGATATTCGACTTCTCGGGCGAGGGAAGGCTCGATGTCCAAGGCTTAATTACCAGCTTTCCTGAAGAATACAGTGTCAATCATCAATTCCAACTGGTATCCCATGGTGCTGATATTGGAAAGAAGATTCTAAATAGAATACCAACTATAAACTACGAGACATTTAGTGTTGAAAAATATGTATCGGATAGTATGTACGTTTGATATCATTACGCTAATGGGCGCACCCATTTATGATTCAACTGCTACTGAAATTGCCAGGATAATCAGTGGTAACTCAAATTCTCTGGTGGTTGCCTATGGATTATCTAAAAGTGACGAGGGCATCAACAAATTGAAAAGTGCGCTTGACGCTAAACAGCTGCTTATATTAGCAGATTATATTTTACCGTCTCCACTTAATGAAATTACAATCGATACACATGTAGCGTTTTGCCCGTTAAATTCTGTGGTCTCAAAAGCAAAGTCTTATTTTCTCGGTGGAAAAATGCATTCTTCTGGAAAAATTTTATGTTCGCTTCAAAGAAGTTCGAATATCCACGATTCTGCAAGAAAAGCACTTAGGGACTTTTTTTGCTACACAAATGTGGCTACACAAATGTTGTAAAAATTGTGCGATCCGACTACACAAACTTATAGCTTCAGTCAAGCTACGGAAATGTCCTAGCAGACTGGTAGCCTACGTGGGGTGGGACAGCATCAAACGACAAATCAACGTCGGATTTGATATGTTGTCTCACCCCGGGTAAGGAGGTATTTTCAGTATGTATTGATTACGTCACGTCCACGATCGTGCCCGAGCAGCTGCCCTAAGTATTTTGAACAGTATCCGAAAGTGAGGCGATTTTGGCTCCGTTCGTCGCTAAATTGGCCCAAACTATGATCAAACCACATTATTTAGTAAGAAAAATCTTTGTGAAAAGATGTAATCGAATTTATTTTGGCGTACGACAAGTTTGAACGGAGATATTTGACTTTGAAGGCGATGCGGTCGTGCCGCTAGTTATTAGCCTTTTACTGTTATATTATATATAATGAGCACACACAATGTAGGCCACAGAAAATGTTACATCAACCGCGCTGATAGATTAATTAAAAGAATGCAAAGGTATTATACTATCATGTCAACTATATTTTATTGTTAAAATGTATTTTTTTTACTAATTTGAGAATGTTTTTAGAATAGTTTTGGTTGACTATAAATTTGTTTATAAAAACCGTTAAAAACCCGCAACACCTGATCATTCATTCTGAGATTGGGCCGCCTGTGGTAAAACGCACGTAACAAATTCCACAATCGATTTCTTCGAATTTCTTTTCTTTTATGCTTTATGGCAGAAAATAAATCAAACAAATAGTATTTTGAAAGGGCTTTTTTTTCTTTTTTTTTT